TAATAACTTGATTGGAATTATAACCTTGAATTGACAGTTTGATACTTTGAAAATTTTGAGCCAGCCCTACCCCCAAGGGCTGTAGGGTGGGGCTCAAAGGAGTCAGTGTGCTAAAATTTCTTCATTTTCCTTGTTAAGAATCAGAGGTGCTAGTTTCAAATCCTTTTTAGTCTGAAATCTGTATGCTAGATATTGAGTAAGGTGGTTTTATTGTTTTTTGTCACTTTGAATAATATTTCTGTTCATGTTAAAAACAAAATCAACTCTCTGTATAAATATATCAGGTGACCGTTAAGGCCCATGGGCCTCTTGTCTACATATGGTTTTGATGTGGAGATCGAAAGAGAGCTTAAAGTCAATGTCGAGACCTAGTAGTTTTACAGTTTCTTCACATGGGATCGAAATATCATCTATTTGAAAAGAAATGTTTTGTGACCAGGTCTTTTGACCTATTGCAAGTGCTTGGAATTTGTCAGGATTTGCTTTCATTTTATTTATATTGAACCAGTGTATGAGATTTTTGGTGTCTTCTTCGAGTGCGGATGTCAGTTTTTCTAAGTTTGTAGATGAGTGTGATAGGGTATTATCATCAGCATAGTTGTATAGTTGACAGTGTTTTACAGCGAGGAAGATGTCATTAACATATACCCCCTTTTGGATATTACTCCAGCTGCTAAAAGAGTCTTGAATCTGAATTCTTTGTGTTCTGTTGGTAAGATAATTTTCTACTAGGTTTAATGAATGTCCGAAACGCCAAAGGCTGATAATTTGGCAAGAAGAATTTCATGTGGGAGACAATCAAATGCTTTAGATAGATCCATCAGAATAGCAGTTACATATATGTTATCATCTAATTTTTATTTCCAGTCTTCAATAATTCTTAAAAGTACGGTTTGGCATCCATATCCTTTCCTAAAAGCACAGAGAAAGTTTTCAAAAATATGGTTGAAAACTTGCTGAGTTGGTCAAAAAGTGTTCGTTCATAGATCTTGGATATGGATGGTAAGCAAGAGGATGTTTCAGAGAGAGAGAGAAAAAAGAAAATAAATGCAACACTAATTGAACGTGTCTAACGAATCTTTCATTTTAATGCTCCCATATTTTTAGCCCACCATCATCTGATGGTGGGCTATTCAAATCACTCTGCGTCCGTGGTCCGTCGTCCGCCGTCCTTAAACAATTCTTGTTATCGGTATTTCTCAAGAAGTATCAAAGGGGTCTTTCTCAAATTTTATATGAAGGTTCCCCTTGGTCCTTAGCTGTGCAGGGCAACTTTTGAGACTGATCGGATAAACAACATGGCCGACAGGCAGCCATCTTGGATTTTGATAGTGAAAGTTTGTTATCGCTATTTCTCAAGAAGTACGGGAGGGATCTTTCTCAAATTTTATATGTAGTTTCCCCTTGGTCCTCAGCTGTGCAGAGCAACTTTT